CTGCCCGCTTTTCGGCTGGGTATGCTCTCTGTGTATGACTACTAACCACTGCCCTGTGTCTGTGCTGCACACATTTCCCCTGCCTGCCACCTGCCCTTTACCGCTGCCTTAGCATATGTTTCTACAGAGACATTTTCGCTTGTCTGCAGTCAAAATCTGTTCTTCCTTTACTTTGTCGTTTCTGGTTTTCACGCCAGATTTGGAAAGGTCGTCTTCACCCAGGATTTTAAAAAGAATTATTAAGACTCAAGAAATCATTTTTGCATACAACATGAAAGGGACTCTAATTTAATTTTTCATGGATAGCCACTAATATGTAAAAGCTCATCTGAGTCTTTACTTCCTTTGGAATGCCATCTTTCTGACACATTCATCCAGTTTCCTGACTCTCCTTCACTCCTCAGATCTTGCCATTATTACCCTGTCTTCATTACTGTAGCTCCGTATTCTGTTTGCAAATCCACCTCATTGGTTTGTTTCCAAAATTTCTTGGTTAATCCACGGGGCCGACCCTAAAAATATATTTTTTGATTGCTAATTGCTACTGTCGTCTTAATATTTACCTAGAATTCAGCCACCTTACTAAACTCCCACATTCTTTTTTTAGATTTGCTTCTCTAGAATTTCTAGGTAGACAATATTTTCATCTGAAAATTATGATAATTTTGTCTCTCCCTCCTCAACATTTATATTTCTTATTCCTTTTTCTTGATTTTTGCCCAGCTAGGACCTCTAGAACATGCTGAATAGTCGCATTGATATCAGGTATTTCTGCTCTGGGAAGGAATCTTGGGTCTCCTTTCCCCTCGCTCCACCTAGTTAAGCGCTCTTATTCTGTACATTCATAATACTCCAGCCTGGGTCCAGGGTCGCATGAATCACGTGGAAATGCAACTGTCCACGAGCTCGGTCATTGTGTATTCTATAGGCTAAGATATGACAGCCTCTTCATCCCATTGCTATAGACCTAGCAGCTGACCCAGGCCCAGCATGTAACAGCAGTTCAATCCATCTGTTCTCCTAGTTTCTGATGTCTCTCCATTGTAGTCTTCCTTCTATACCCTAAAAGAGGCGGAAAATTCTGTTGTTTCCTCAAATTCTGTCAGCTCTCTCCCTGAATCTCTATCCCTATTACTGTTCCTTTCATTCAAGCTCCTCTTCTCCCTCACTTAGAGCAATGTTTCTCTAACTTAAATAATAGAGAAGTCCCTTTTAAAGAAAAAAGAATTCTATGAACCTCACTGTCAAATCAAATTTTTATGATTTTACTTAAAGATGTACAAACAATATTTGATATAAACTCCTTATACATATAGTCCTTATACAAATAAATCTAAAACCAAAACAAATTTATAAATTAAATACTTTCATAACCAGTAAAATTAAAATTAGTTTAAATTGACAGTACCATTTTGCTGAAACTAACTTGCCAATTTTGAGTTAACAGTATAAAGATGTACGCTCAGATCTGTTTCTATATAATCTGTCTCTGTATCTTTACTTCTATGACTCTCAAATGGAGAATATCCTTTTGAATAAGAATATTTCACAAAATAATTTTGATAACTCAAGACTTTGTGTGCTATTTCGGAATAACCAGACTTCATACTTAGCTAAACTCTGGCACTATGCAATTCTCCAATGCTAATTTTAATGAGCTGTCACTTGGTAACTCAGTAAAGCTTGTTTGTTCACTTAAGATAAGGTTAGCATGGAAGGTTATTGAAATCTGCATTACATGGATGTATAACATCAGATGCAAAAAAATTCTTTAACATATTTGCTTTTGTATTAACTGCCCGTCCGTGATGCAAGCTGGTACACACCAAGTCACGGCAGTGCTGTTGGTGTCCTGGGGAAGGGTCTTCCGAGACAGACATGCCGGTGCTGCTGGGCACCATCTGGTAACTCGGTTTTCTCATCGCATCGTTCTTTTCTAAACTGGTACACTCCGCAGGACTTTGTTTATAAACTGTACCACATCAAAGAGAACACTTATAAAGAAGTTTTTCAGCACTGAGACTCAGGGTTGTTTTTTCTTCTTGCAACGCAGTGTAACCTAAGGAAGGTCAGCTTTCATATCAACTAGCTCTCAGAATCAAGAAGGCTATATTTATAGTTCACCTTATTATATGGCACACGAGTTTTCTGACTAAATAATGTTTCAGGCAATTTTGACTTAAAAAAGAAATGTTTCATCTTTGATAACAAAAATATTTTCTGAGGATGGAAAGTTTTTAGGTTGGCCCTTTAACTCATGACTTACCCCTCAGAAAGCAAGGCTTTTAAACGGTCCATCTTTTCTTGATTCTTAAGATCAGTTTCAAATGCTACCCCTATATGAAATCTCTTTACCAGAGGTGGTCATTCCTTGGATCCCATAGAACTAGGTTCCTATATCTATTATTACAGTTACAGCTGAAATTTTCATTTTGTCTCTCCACAAGTCTTTCTCACCTAATTCTCTGTGGGGTCTTTGAGTAAGAGAGAGTATATCTGTATACCCAATGCAAGCTCAGAATCTTGCACATAATAGGTACTCAGCAAATGTTTAATGAATGGATGAATAAAAAATAAATGAAGGCCACTTCCACTTTGCCCAAAGTTGCCACCACTCAAATAATGCTCTGGTACAGTAATGAACCCAAGTACTGTCCCTCTGTCTCTCCTACTTCAGTCAGCATCACATCTGTGAAGCTGATGAAGTTCTTTGCCTCAACAGAAGGGTAAACTGAACTTTATAGTGTAAGTTTTCAAAGTTTCTGGCCCTGTAGGGTACAAGGCCCTAAAGTTAGGTTCTCAGGTCCCCTTATGGATAAACAGAATTCAAGACTTCTCCATAGAGAATAACTGGGAAAGACTGATGACGTGTCTCACACATCCTAGACTGTATTTTTTGTGGTCCCTAAATTCAAAGAGTGGGGCATGAAGGCCCCTGAATGAAGCTCATGGTGCATCCTCCCTTAAAAATTTCTATAAGTAGAAGAGAACCCAAATTATTCTCCAATAGAGGGACTCTGGTCTTGGGCTTCCTCTAGCCACTCATAGGTCCAGATACAAAACACCCACGGAAATCAGGGTGACCAACCATCCTGGTTTCCCTGGGACTGAGAGGTTTCCTGGGATGTAGGAATTTCAGTGGTAAAACTGGCACAGTCATAAGCAAACTGGGGAGGTTGATCATCTAGACTGGCAAAATGCCACGAACCCTCCTGCCAACTCCCCTGGTGGAAAGACACATTTAAGCCAGTCCAGTGAGTAACTCCAGGCTTTATAGGTGGTAGACAGGTGTACCAAAGGGTCTGTTAACCATCCTCCTTCCTCTTCTTTTCTGGGCTACAATTCTTTAGTTACAGCAATGGATCTCAAACCTTCCCATGCAACAGGCTCACCAGGAGGGCTTGTTAAAATACAGACTGCTGGACCCACCCCAGAGTTTCTGATTCAGCAGGTCTGGGGGAGGGCTCAAAAATCTGCATTTCTTACAAGTTATCAGGTGATGCTGACGATGCTGGTCTGGGGACTTGGCTTGGAGAACCACTGCTCTAGAAGTTTGGCATATTACTATCTTCTTCCGAGACTAATGTGTAATCAAAAAAGGAGTCAACTGAAAGTATGAAGGCATGAATCAACAATATAAGGGACAGACTGTTATAAGAATTGGTCTCATTTTCATTTCTTAAGCACTTCTCACTGGTGAGTACAGTTTTTAAAACATCTTAATATACAAAGTTTTAAATATAATACAAAAGGTTTAAACCTTCAGGCAAGTTTTTGCAGAGAGTAGGGAGTTCTCTATTATTGGGTTTATAATGACTGATTTCTCAGTGGAAAAGTAAGCACCCTGTAGCACAGTAACATTTGGTTCCTCTTCTCTGTGCTCAACCTAACGATTGAGATGTTCTTTGTACCTAATCTGAATCATAGTTTCAGAAGCATTCTCTCTGGCATACTAAACAGAAAAAAGAAAAGTGCATTTTGATAATACAATCTGCATTTCTTTCAACCCGTGCAAACTTTTTAACGTAACTGAATATGCAACGAAAATAGAAAAGCAATTCCAGATTGTAAATATGCATTCAATTTTTGCCAAAATTCTGCCCTTGGAAACATGTACTGCTGCCCATTAATACACAAATTTTGCCTAAAACTGTGAAAGTGCACCCCTTATCTTCGAAGACAGGTTCCTGACTGTTCTCATTTGGATGTTGTATTTGACCCAGGAGGAACTGAGCTATGATGCTTTGATGGAAGAATTTAAATCCCATATCTGTAAAAAGATTCTAGGGAAATGGGTTTGAAATAGAAGAACTATACCATTTTCATGAGTAAAATGAATTTCTAAATGCCCCTGTCTGAGTAACTGTCACTGCCAAAAAGGGGTCCTCTACTCAACACAAAGACAAGCCAACAGTTAAGAGGCAAGGTGGTAGGAGAGAAAAGGTCTTTTATTACAACTTGCTAGCAAGGAGGAAAATGGTGGACTAGCGTCCTAAAGAACCATCTTAAAACTACAAAATTTTGAAGCGGTTATATAGGGCAAACGGGCTGAAAAGAAAGGGGGTCTCAGAATGTGACCATTTGGTGTTGTAGTCCTTGAGACGCCAGATCATCCCTTTTTCTTGTCACCTGTGACGGATGCCAGCAGAGGGCTCCTTTCTGGAGGTCGTTACATTCCTGGGAAACTTAAAGAACAAAGTTACTGCCTTATCACGATAGGGAGGTCTCTGTGTAAGCCAAGGCTGAGAAAGTAGCCGAGTGTGCGTATTTCTAACAAGCAGGTGCACGCTGATCCAGGCTACATGCAAACTAAAGCATTGTTGAAAAGCAAAGCAGGCGTCTTGTGGAGCAGGGTCATTTATAATTTCTCCATGGTCCCCTCTACAGGATGGCTTCCCTTATGCTAACTGCTGCTAACCTTTGGCTCTATCTATCGTAGCTATTTAGGCAGCGCTAACATAACTAGTTCTCAACAATAACGATTTTGCTTTTGTCCCCAGCGCTCTGGTGGTGCTCTGGCCATCCCCTTGTGTGCATTCCAGGGTACCGTGTCTCTCCAAGCACCTACAGGGAAAACCCTATCTCTGTCTACCTATGAGGTAAGCGCAGAAGGACAAAAAATAACCCCAGCCTCTAAGAAAATAGAAGTCTATCGATCCAAAAGTGTTGGCCATGAACCAAACTTAGAGGATTCTCCCTCCACATTTGCGGACACCAGTGTGAAAATACACTTGGAAGTTCTTGAAATCTGTGATAATGAAGAGGCCTTGGACAGTGTGTCCATCATCAGCAACATCAGCCAGTCGTCCACACAGGTCAGATCTCCATCCCTGCGCTACTCACGGAAAGAAAACAGATTCGTTTCGTGTGACTTAGGGGAAACAGCCTCATACTCTCTCTTCTTACCCACAAGCAATCCTGATGGTGATATCAACATCTCCATCCCAGACACTGTGGAAGCACACAGGCAGAACAGTAAGAGGCAGCGTCAGGAGAGGGACGGCTACCAGGAGGAAATCCAGTTGTTGAATAAAGCTTACAGGGAGAGAGAGAGGGAGAGCCGGGGGAGCTAGTGATTCCCCGGTCTAACAGAGGCAAGGGCAGCTCTGCAAGTCCAAGTGCTGAACCAACACCTCTGCTTGAAGGCTACTGCATTTCCTTTCGCATTTGTCAGCTCACCTTAGCTTCACAGATTTACTGTTAATTATTTTAGCTTTACTGTTAACTATGTTTATTTTAATAAACAGCTGGAACGAGTGCAAACACTTAAGTGCTTTTGATGTGTTACCTGTAGATCATACACTGTGCTAATTAAAAGATTTTGTTTCTTATCCGATTTCTAAAGATCTTTTCTAAATCAAATCTTGGCCTAGTTTATAAAGCTTTTGCCTATGTTTGTCAACCTCAGAGTAAACAGAAGGCTGCACAAAGTCAATGAATATATTGTCCCCATGCACGTCTCTACACCTACTTTTGGCAAGGAGAAAAAAGACATTTTGGGAATGGAAGAAATGTAGCAAAATCTCAAGGTGTCTTTGAAGCATCTTGCCTAGATGTGCCAGCAAAACACACTTATTACAGTGACTGCTTTAGCTTTACACTGATGTCCAGGAAATATATTCTGGTGTAAAATGGCCAATTAGCTTCCAACTTCAAAACACGCATGTCTGTGGTCTGTAAATAGTTGTTTCCTTCATTTCTATAAAACACAAATTGTTTACTGAATGTTTTTTCTTTCTCTCTTAAATATAACAGTGTTTTCCTTTCATCTTTTCAGTATGTCAAGACTGCCCTTAAAAAGATTCTGTTGTGTGTTATAAGTGGAATTAGAAGTAGTCCTTGGTGCAAACATTATTGGAAAAGATTGTAAATGTACACATCATTGTTTCTAGAATTGTTTTGTTTATTTGAATGGAAATTGCGGGAAAATACTGCCGGATTAAGTTCTGTGAAGTGCACCCAACTAGAGTAACAAACTTTTGGGGAAAGCAGAGGAAAATCCTCTAAGTGCAAAATAAAAGTGTTTCTAAAGCTGCAGATTTGGCAAAGTTTCTTAGCTATTCTGGAAGCACAGAAAATTTTAGTTCAAATATTATTCCAAATAGGTGCTTTTAGTTTCTTTCCCAAAGACATGTGTATCTCAAGCAGAGAAACAATTCAATATTTTTTATTAAATGATTGTAAGGTGTACATTTCAAGGTTAATTTTAAAATGTGTTACATTGCAAAAATGCAGGAATCACATTGTCAGAATATTAGTAACATATTTCAAAAATTATGAAGTGATTTTTTTCTTCAAATTACTTTATTCTGATATTTCTGTAAATGTATATTAAATGTACTATTTATTTTCCAGAGTTATTGAGTTGATATTTTACATGGTCTTAAACTTTGTGCACCCCACCTCACTCACATATCTTATTTACTATTTACAGACTGAGTGAATTATTTTTTTAAATGATTTATTTTGGTTTTTATTTCATTATATTTAATCAGAATTCTAAATTGCTTGACAGGGGCTTTCAGATTGTTTCATCTTCAGATTTTTTTTTTGCCACCAAGAAGTCATTTTCAAAATAATTATCTCAGTGGACTTTCCCTAACTCTCATTCAACTTCTCAATATCTCCTTCTCTAAACTTGGGGAGCAAAAGTAATGCCATTAGTAACATCTGTAAAGCAAGCCTCAAATAATGCATAACATATAAATTCCAATTTAAATATATTCTTGTTACAAATACATTTAAAAAGACTTTTTGTCCCAAAATTGAGGGCTTTTTTAACACAATGACAAACGGCCAGATCAATCTGATGTTATAAATCAACAGCATTAAATGTCTGTTATAAAAGCAAAAGTTAAATATTCTAATAATGCTTTGTAAAAGACAGGCTTGATATATTATATTTAGATGTATAATTCTATAAAAGAGAAAGGTGATTTTGCTGCTTTAAAGTACAATTTCTGGCAACAAGGAAATTAGAAACAGAATCATAATAAAACTGAAGAAAATAATAGAGTTAAATACAAACAAATCCTTTATAACTACACAGCACTTCAAATGGAGACACGACAACGATGGAATCAAGATTTAAAGAGCACACAAGTGGACTGGAAGACAGGAATCCCCCATTTCCCTCCTGTGTTGTTTTCTCTTCACTGGGGAAACTGAAAAAAACTAGGATATTCCCATTTAATTGCCCTTGGTTGTTGAATTAACTATACAATGGATACATTTAAAAGTTCTATATTGACACAATACCAGAATTATTTAGCCAAAAGTCACAGTTTGAAAGGCTAATCAGCATCATGTTACCAACCCATAGCACTTCAAACTCCAGGCCAACAGAGTTGACTCTGTAAGAAAACCTACAGGGGCTGTGCTCCAGCACCCAGGGCTCCTCCCAACCCTTGTTGAGAGACGGGAAGGTTAAGCTACACCCGTACAGTCTACTCAGTCTTTAAAGTGATTATGGTTGTAAAAGTGTGTTTCTGGTATAGGAAATACCCTTACAGGTATCCTGTGCATAGTTAAATATCTTACCCTTGCATCCTTATATTGTTCTTATTATTAATAAATGCCATATTTCATAATCTTTTCTCTATAAATTGATGTATCTGAAGACAAAAACTACTTGTTACCTAATAAAAATATCACCATCTGGTGGTGAGTCCTACAAACTGAAAAGACATAACCCCTAGGACTCCTTAATAATATAAACACATAATATATAATCCCAAAGACTTCCAAGAGTTGTGACTGACAGGCAACCATTCTGAAGACAGTAAACATCACAATACTACTCAGAATATAATAAAAAAGGTTTGATTATGCATTATTTGGTAGCTTTTCTCAACATGGTTCTTTAACATTAGATTTCATAAATAAATTTTCTCTTAGTTTCTTACTTATACCATCAGCTACTTTCATTCGTTTATTCATTATAGTATTTAATGAATGCCCACTATATGCTAGAAATTGTTCTAGGTACTTAGCATTATAACTGTGAACAAAAACAAAACAAATACATATACTGTGAGTTGAGCCCACTGCAAACTGAGAGAACACAGTCCTCATGAGACTTCCCTCACTTCTGGCACCAGTTGCAAGTTCAGGGTTTTCCCCAAACCACTTCAGTTTCAGTAATTCACTACAAGAACTCACAGAACTCACTGAAAGCTGCATACTCACAGTTATGGTGTTTTACAGCGTAAAGATCAACTGAGTAAATTTGAGGATCTAATTGGCTTTATTTAATGATTCATGAATCGGGCAGCCTCTCATGTAGCAAACAGAAGGGTGCTCTGAGGAGTTGTACAAAAGGGAAGGTTTTTATAGGCAGAAGGGGCAGAATGGGAAAGTTATAAAAACAAAGAGTGGATTGTTTCAGGCAGGTCACCTTCTCCTAGGGGCCGGAATGGCAGGGGTCTAATCAGGCAGATGACCTCACTAGTGTTGATCAGGCAATTCCAGACTGATTGGTTTAAAATTCCACTCCTGGGAGAGACTAGAGCTGCAATGAAGTCTTGGTTTGCTGACGTGGGGCTTAGCACAAGTGACTCCACTTTGGCCTGTTGTTTAACATTTCCCCCTTTTGACCAAACTCTCAGCCTAACCGAGAGATGTGATCAAAATTTAAGGCATTAATGCCACTCTCAGCTACTTCTCTGTAGTTCTCACAGCTTTTGTTGATCCTGTGGGTGTTTTTTTGTTGTTTTTTTTTTACTGAATCTCTGTGGTATTCACAGGTTATGACTTCTGGCTCGCAATTTTCAAGTCAGTCATTTTCTTCATTTCTTTTCCGATGTTCCAGTCTTAGGGAGATAATTTGGTTGGTGGTTAGCAGCTGTGAACACACATTTAAGGCTTTTGAGAGAATATGGCATTCCAGGGAAGTTATGATAATTATAAGCAGGATATTTCCCAACAACTGGAGTGCACTTTGGAGCCATGGTCCCCAAGACCCAAATCAACCAAAATCAAATAAGTGAAAGAAAGACCCCATTGAAGGAGTCACCTTTTTAAGCAAAGTGGCTTGCTCAGTGATCTTACATAACTGAGTTTCAACTTCCCCTGAAGTATTGATCTAGGTTCAGCAGGCGGGGCTGGCCACAGCACAGATATCTCCTTGCTCAGTTAAAAGATAACCAAGGACAATACTATTGTCATAAACACATTTGGCCAGTCTAAGGATTTTTGCCAGGCAGCCATTGCTTTAGCAGTGGATTCTGCAATGCTTCCAAGAGTTAAGGAGAAGTTCCTGATCATAGCATCATTTACACTTACTCTTAACCAAGGAAGTAGAGATCTGTCAAAGGGAGCCAATTCTGAATTACAAATGCCTCCTAGTAGGTCTTTTTATCTCAATGATATAAATTCAGAAGAGTTGACCAGTGAAGTGTCTTCAGTCTGTTTGTGAACAGGTAGGGGCATGCTTAGATGACCTAAGAGGCATTGCCCGATTATGTACCAGCTATCTAGTTATTTATAGGCCCAAGAAGAATGATAAGCACCACAGACAAAAAATAAATCCTGTTGGGGTACAAACCACTTCCACTAAGGTGGCACTGTTGATGGATTCATTTGTAGGAATTGTTGCATTTTCCTTTTCAAGCCAGGGGTCACTTAGGTTTTTTTCCTAGCCTGAAATAAAATGTTGTTCTAAATTCCAGAGGTTACCCCCCTTAGCAACGGCCTGGCAGATAAGGATGATAGTGTTATCTTTTCAGGCCAATTGCCAGAGTAAAAGAAAGAAAGAAAAGAGTTTCATGTTTAGCTAAAGTAGAAAGTCTTCAACTGGTGTGTTGGGTCAAAGCAGTCTACACTGATATCAGCTGCTTCTCTTCCTGGTCAATTTGATCTGGAGGTCCCCAGCATCTGTACAAGACCAGGTGTCAGGTGGAGCTTTCTTTAGCTGTGAGAGTGTATCCAAGGTTCAAGTCCCGAAGTTTGGATGCCATCCGGGTAGTGAGGAGGACATGGTATAGTCCCTTCCAAGGAGATTCAAGGGTAGTTTTCGTTCTTAGTGATTCCAAATCAGAAGGCTGGGAGAAAACTGGAAACATTAGTTTGGAGA